AACTTTTGCCTGTTATCCTCCTACACCTGTAGCTGTAGCAAAACACACACCATGTTATTGATCTCATTTCAATTCCATGATCACCACCCTCAAGTCATCCTTTAATGCTGCCCAGAAATCATACTCTAGTTGCCTAGTCCATATAATATACCCTTATACTGTTCTAGAAATTGTTACTTTTTTTCACTTGTATCATTCAATTTTCTACAGTTTTTTTAAGTGCCCACAAACCATCTGCTTGTGGGAACTTTGCTGGGAATGAATATGAAATATCACATTTTCTGAAATTCATCTCCCTTCCCCACTCCACCCTGGGCATTTGCCTATTGTCCGGGCCACATCCTTCCTGTTCCCCACAGTCCCTCAAAGATCCATGGCCTCAGCTCCATCTCTCTTGTCCCAGCCCTCAGTCTCCATGGCCTTGCTCCTCTGATCTCTCAATAAGCACTTGCCAAGGGGATGAGAATGGGAACAGCTTGCAGCCTGATCTCGGGAGGCGAGCATCTGTTTTCATGCTTTTATTAAATAAAAAAATACAAGTAGACATTTAGCAGAGGAGAAGCACTTGGCAGGAGGCACACGAGTTTGGGCCATAGCTTTCAGTCCCCGTGAATCCAGGGAAGAAAAGAACTGGCCCCAGAGAGCCGGTACAGTCTCAGTCCGCCTCGAGCACGCTGAGCGCCGTGCGGTCCCAGTGCACCTGCAGCACGCTGAGGGCCGTGCGGTCCCAGTAGCACGCTGAGGGCCGTGCGGTCCCAGTGCACCTGCAGCACGCTGAGGGCTGTGCAGTCCCAGTGCACCTGCAGCACGCTGAGGGCTGTGCAGTCCCAGTGCACCTGCAGCACGCTGAGGGCCGTGCGGTCCCAGTGCACTCTGAGGGCCGTGTGGTCCCAGGGCTCCTGCAGCACGCTGAGGGCCTAGTCCCCCTGGAACGTGCTGAGAACCTAGTGTACCTGCAGCACGCTGAGGGCTGGTGAGGTCCCAGTGCACCTGGAGCACTCCAGGAATGGCAGGTCTAAATGACACAATCATTTCTGGGCATTGCTTGGTGGTTAAAAGCATGGGCTACAGAGCCAGACAAGATAGATGGGATTCAGATCCCGGCAGCTCTACTCCCTAAGTATGAGACCCAGAGCTAGTTATTTAACCTTTCTAGACTCACTGTCCTCATCTGCAAAATGGGACTAGTAACAGTCCCTACGCCCTAAGGCAAGCGGGAAAAATAAATAAGCCAACATAAGGAAAGCTGTCAGAACAAGGCCTAGTACTTACTAAGTCCTCAGTAACAGTAGGTATAAATTATTATTAAATTCTCTTTCGAGTCCTACAGCAGCCTGGTGAGGTATTATCTCCATTCACAGAAGAGGAGACTGTGGGTTAAAGAGGTCAAGGACAGGCTCAAGACCACATGGACAGAAAGTGATGGAGGCTAGACTTGCACTAAGATCATAGCACTCAGTCCGGCTGGCCGGGCTCAGTGGTTGAGTGTTAGTCTATGATTCCAGGTCAGGGCATATGTCTGGGTTGTGGGTTCAATCCCCAGTGTGTGTGTGGGGGTGGGGGGGAGCATGCAGGAGGCAACCGATTAATGATTCTCTCTCATTGATGTTTCTATCTCTCTCCCTCTCCCTTCCAAAAAAAAAAAAATAGATCATAGGGCTTCCCTGCTGAGCATTTCAGAGCTCCCTCCCAGCCTCTGGATGACATTATTTTACCCTGATCATAGAGATTCATATCTCTCCCTTCTCCAGACAAGCCCGGATCTTCCCAGGCAGATGGCACCAAGTATTTACTGTACAATTGCACGGTCATGATTGTGTTTAGCCGGAACGAGGGAGGCTGATTGGTGACAAGTCAGCAACCCTGAGAGGAGGAAATAGTTCCAAGGTTGCACACAGTCTTTGATGAGGGCTTACTGTGTATCTGACTGCTTGGTTACACGGATGGATGGATGGATGGATGGATGAGGTGCGTTTCCTGCTTTGGGGAAGTCGCAGTGAGATAGTGCGGTACTGACTCGCCAGAACTCCTTTTCTGGTGGTTCTCAGAGTGTGGTCCTTGGAGCAGTGGCATCACCTGGGAACTTGCAAGAAACGCAAATTTTCAGGTTCCACCCTAAACCTATAGAATCAGAAGCTCTGAGGGTGCAGCAAGTTAGTTATCAGCAAGTTCTCCAGGGAATTGGGAGGCGCCCCAAGCTTGAGAACCACTGACGGGGCCCTTTCAGGGACAAACCGTGAGACTGGTTGTGAGCCCTCCAGGGACCCGAGGAGACGTCTTAAAGGAAACTGGGTCACTTTGGCTGCCAGGACTCATTGTCAACTCACAGTCATGGCTCCCTCGTCACCTCCAACAACATTTTGAACCTTCGTGGTATTTTTGCAAATGTCCAGGCATCGTGAAGACTACCCATTTGTTTTGACAAGAACGCATCCATTTAGCACACCGTTTGTTCCCTGCAGGGTTTCCAGGCTTCCCTGTAAACTGATCGTGATGCTTGGTGGATGTTGACACCATAACCAAGACCCCAGTAAGAATCCCAGTCCCAGGAGGACTCATTTCCTGTTTCCAAAGAGGAAGTGCGTTCTCAGGGGAACAGTCGCTGTCTGCCTCCCTCCCTTCCCAGGGGCCTTCCATGCATCTCCTCCTCCGTGGCGGGGTCTGGGCCTGGTCCCAGTTCTCAGCAGGTGGAGAGCATTGGGCCACATTCTCCCTGAAGTAAGTTCACACATCAATCAAAGGTGGGAGATATCGGGGAGTGGAGGCGGGGCAGGTAAGGCTCCTAGAAAGGGCTCAGCCTTGCTCCTGGACCCTGTCTTTTTCTTGGGACCCGTGGGTCTGCATCCACTGCTCCAACCCAGGGCCATGTGCTAGACCATGGCGTCTTCGTGAACCTTAGAAAACGGCACCCCTTCAGGTGTCTCTCGGGGTGGGCGCCACCCCCGGGGCTCAGGGCTGGGTTGGGCTGTTTTCTTAAATTCTCACAACCACCCAACAAGGTGGGCATCCATGTTGTCTCCCTGTAGTTTTTCTTTTTCTTAATTATAAAAGGTTTCCAAACTCTCAGCACCTCCATTCTCTCCTCTGCCCAATGTATGTGATACCTTTGGCTCTTTTCTCGAGAGCTTGCTCTGCAGATCGAATGAGATCATCATGATAATAGGCCTCTGGAAAAAGGATTTTTTTTTAAAATATATTTTTATTGATTTTTTTACAGAGAGGAAGGGAGGGGGATAGAGAGTTAGAAACATCGATGAGAGAAACATCGATCAGCTGCCTCCTGCACACTCCCTACTGGGTATGTGCCCGAAACCAAGGTATATGCCCTTGGCCGGAATCGAACCTGGGACCCTTAAGACCGCAGGCCGAGGCTCTATCCACTGAGCCAAACCGGTTAGGGCTGGAAAAAGGATTTTAAAACATCCTACAAATGCCAGGTTTTACATGGATCTTCTCCCAGAGTCCTCAAAGACAGTGTCTGGGGCCCGCGGGGGCCTTACATTCACGCAGCCCCCAATCCTACACGTGGGTGTGGCAGAAGGTGGGTTTCCTGCCAGGATGCTGGCGTTTCGAAGCGTTTCCTCCCCTAGAATTGTTAGACGTGTGAGGCTGCAGTGGCTGAGGTGTGGGTGCAGGCGCTCAGGCGAGTCACGGCCTGGCAAGCCGGCCTGGACGGGATGACCTCATGGGCCTTTCTTAGTTCTCATTTTAATGACTGGGTTCACTGTTTCATTTCTGGCTTCCTCTCTCCTTCTTGCAGCTGTGGTGTTTGGGAATTAGGGCAAGCATTTGAGATTCCTTTTCTAATCCCTATCGAATGTGGAGTTAGCGGCAAAGACTGGGGAAGGGAGGAGGGACTCCCCCTGGCTGGAGGCAGTCGCTCAGAACATCTGAGAAATTCCAGCAGGAATGCCCACTTCCGCCCTCTGGGGTAGGAGGTCTCTCATGTCACCCAATAGCATCCTTCCCCCAGAATGCAATGCGTTCCATCTGCGGACTTAAGCTTCACATAGCCTTCTTCTTGGGTGCTTAAGGAATAAGTCTGGTGGTGGTTGTGATAAGGAAGAGACTTAACATTTGCCTTTCCCCAGTTTAACTGTGTCCTTTGAAGAAATACTTCTTGGTGGATCCCTTAGCCATTTCCACCACTGCCCTGACTGAGATTGAGTCCCCCCCCCCCCCCCCTCAGCCAAATTAGTGCAGCAGTGGTCTGATCACCCACCTTGCAAACCACTACCACATCAATTGACTTTTTATTACATGACTTACCTGCAGAAGACGTAAGTTACATCATATGATGCTAATCATATTACATACACCCCTTGTGGTATCACGTACAAATTTCTCAGTCTGAATGTAAAGGCCTTTTATCACTGGCTTCGGGCAACCCCTCCAACTTAATTCCTACCTGTGACTCCTAGCAGTCCCTCTATCACTTATTCCGTCATCCACCCTCTCCATTGGTGCCTTCTCTCAATTCCGAGCTGGCACCCACAAGGCCAGCTCGTATCAGGACCTTGAACCCAGCCCACTCATGTCCCTGTGTGTCAGCACCACCCAGTTTCATACCAGCTGCTCTTCCACTTGTCCCATTAGCTAAGTCTCCCCAGGTAGACGGTGGTCCCTATCATTGACATTGGTCTCTATCCTAGCTTCTTCCTCATTTCCTGCAGGATCTGGGCAAGCTTCTGTGGCATACAGTAAATAATGAAATCATTTTGACCCCAATCAGGTGTTTGGCCACCTGAAAACTGGATTGATGACTTTCTAGAAAACGAAAGTGTTCGTTTTTCTTGTGAAAAGAAATAGTATTTGTTTGTAGCCAATACTCATGATCACCCAGCCGTGCACACGCACCTGCAACTTTCACAGACACCCTTACAACTTTTCCAGGTGTGAAGAGAAACCGATGGAGATTGGAGATATGGTTTCCCACAATAGCCAACTTGTACTGCGTTCCTCACGCTCTTCTAACGCGTGTGACCCTCCTCTTTCCCCAGAGAGCTCCTGTGAAAATAAGCGGGCAGACCTGGTCTTCATCATTGACAGCTCCCGCAGCGTCAACACCCACGACTACGCCAAGGTCAAGGAGTTCATCCTGGACATCCTGCAGTTCTTGGACATTGGCCCTGACATCACCAGAGTGGGCCTGCTCCAATATGGCAGCACCGTTAAGAACGAGTTCTCCCTCAAGACCTTCAAGAGGAAGTCCGAGGTGGAGCGCGCCGTCAAGAGGATGAGGCACCTGTCCACGGGCACCATGACGGGGCTGGCCATCCAGTACGCCCTGAACATCGCTTTCTCGGAAGCAGAGGGGGCCCGGCCCCTGAGGGAGAATGTGCCACGGGTCATAATGATCGTGACGGATGGGAGGCCCCAGGACTCCGTGGCCGAGGTGGCTGCAAAGGCACGAGACACAGGCATCCTGATCTTCGCCATCGGCGTGGGCCAGGTGGACCTCAACACGCTGAAGGCCATCGGGAGCGAGCCTCACGAGGACCACGTCTTCCTGGTGGCCAACTTCAGCCAGATGGAGTCGCTGACCTCCGTGTTCCAGAACAAGCTGTGCAGTAAGTCCTGCCCCCGTGGCTCTCCCAGGGGCATCATTAGGGTCTCTTTATTCATCTTCCAGGTTCAGTCTGTGCTGCCTCATCCCAGGGACTGTGCCTGCAAGGGGTTCAGCAAAGGCCAAGGTAGACATGGTGACTTTTTGGCACTGAAGGGTCTTGGGTTTGATTTCTGGTCAAGGGTACGTACCTGGGTTGCCGGTTTGTTCCCAGCCCCAGTCATGTGGGAGGCAGCCAATTGATATGTCTCTCTCACATTGATGTCTCTCTCACTCTCTGTCTCTCTCTCTCCCCTCTTTCCTCCCTTCCTTTCACTCTCTCTGAAAAGCAATGGAAAAATATCCTCAGGTGAGGATTAACAAACAAAAAGCCTGGCAAAAAAGCCTGGGTCCACCTAGGGATAATAATCAATCACTAACATTTATTGATCTTAATATGCGCTGTTTTGAGCTATTAGCATATGTTAACTCATTTTATTCACACAACAAACCTGTGAAGTAGGTGCTAGTTGTAATTCCCGTTTTATAGAAAAGGAAACTGAGACCCAGAGAGATTTAGTAACTTGTCCAGAGTCACACAGCACTAAGTGGTAGAGTTGAGATGTGAATGAACCCAGGCATTCTGGCTCTGAACCTACGTCGTAACCACTGTGTGCTACACAGACTTGAAAGATGAGTAGGAGTTCACCGGCTATGTAGTGGGGACGACTGCCTTAAGCCAGGAAAGGAATGATAATTTCTATTGTTTCTTTCTATTTCACTTAAAAACAACAACAACAAAAAACAAGTCCAGATTCCCTGTTAATTTGGTGACCTGCTAAGGAGTCATGACCCACAGTTTGAAAAGTGCTGGTGAGGGACAGGCAGGGAGGGGTGGCCATGGCACCCAGGGACAGGGTTTCCGAGGGAGGCAGGGCTGCCGTGCAGGTGCTCAGACGGAGCTGCGAGCGCTGCTGGGTCTCGGTCTCCCAGTGGGAGTGAGGCGGGAACCTTGATCGAGCGGCCAGGAAGAGATGCGCTCTGGAGCCAGGCTGCCCTTGAGTGCGAGTCCTGGCTCTGGCTCTCACTGGCTGTGTGGACATGAACTTGGACACCGCGGTGGCTTTATAGCCATGGGCAGTGAATTCCCTCACCAGCCACAGCAGGGGTGGGGTAGGCCTCCTGAGGCAGCATTCCCAGGCCACCCCTGAGGCCACCAGAGAAACTTGGAGGCCAGCTGTCCTGTGATTGGCGCCCTGTCTACAGGATGACCAAAACCTACACATCTTGGGGTCCACCACTTTTGCCACCCAATGAGAGAGGACACAGAAATTAGGGGCTGAAAATGCATGTCTGTCCCTGAAAACTCATTATAACCGGGGCAGGGCTGCTTTTAATTAACCTTCTGGTACCTGCTTTATCAACCTAGCCTGGTATTTGGAGCCCAGAGGCTGGCCGTTCCTACCCTAATAGCCCCACCCACCCCACCCCACCCAGGCCAGTCTCAATGTCAGGCCCTAAAAGTGTTCCTCAGACACACCTTTCACCAAACAACCTGGGCAAAGTCTGCACTTACTGCACCAATGAGGCCCTGTTGTGTTCATTGGGAGGGCAGATTGGCTTCAACAGATGTTGACTTTCCATGCCCAGTAATTGTTCCTTTCAAGAGCCCCAGTCAGCCCCACCATTCCTTTGATTATCCCTTTAATCATTCATGCATTCATTAATAAACATTTGTGAACATTCATATTTCCTGGTTAAAAAAAATCCAGTCCTGCCAATAGCAGTCTGCTGATGAATGATTCCTCCCCCTGAACACAAAGCCTTGACCCAGTTTCCACCCATGAGAAATGAGACCACTCGCAGGCCAGGCGAGGAGGCAGGGCTGGCGCGTCCCCGCCAGTCACATCACAAAGGCCCCGCCCACGGGAGAGCCAGGCATCAGGGCCCGATGCTCATGGACTCACTGCACACTCACCCAGAGAGATTTGCCGATGGAAACTTTTTATCCTACCTTAGTAAAAATGTCTGGGACTCTTTTGGTTGAAAGTCGTAGAAATTCAGCTTGAACTAGGTTGAGAAAGGAGGGGTCGCATGATATTACTCATGGAATTATGGAGAAGAGTAATGATTGACAGTCCTGCCTTCTCTCCATCTCTTCCCTCTGCTTCCCCATGGATTCCTGTGGTCCATGGGCACAGAGCATATCAGCCTGTGGTTTAAGCCCCCTTTTTCTCAGTTCTAGTTCCTAAATGCCAAGAAAGGACTCTGATTGTCAAACCCTGTCCCACCAGCGGCGGCCAGGAGAGGGGCTGCCTCAGACCCACACGGCAGCTCCCACAGTTCCCATGCATTTGGAGTGAGAAGGGCAGTTTCTAGAAAAAGGGGGTGCTACGCAGATGAAACAATTTCAGTGCATATACTGAGGGTCCCTAGACACTGCACCTGCCTTTATTCTACAGGTAAAGACATAAAGAAAAAGGAGTTACCCAATGTACCTGAACTCCCTCCTTTGTTTGGGGTTGAGGGGAGCTGGAACACAAAGTCTGGCCTCTCGTCCAGCGCTTTTCCCATTACATTGAGTTACGGTCTCCTGGTTCCAGTGTCTTCTATGGTGCACAGCCCAAACCAGCCTCAGTGACACGCTGTCACTCTAAAACTATGCAGTAGTTCTTTTAATTTCCCCATCTGACAGGTGAAGGAAGTGGAGTTTCAGTGGTCCTCAACCTTCTGGCCCCTTAAATACAGTTCCTCATGTTGTGACCCAACCATAAAATTATTTTCATTGCTACTTCATAACTGTAATGTTGCTATTGTTATGAATCGTAATGTAAATATCTGATATGCAGGATGGTCTTAGGCGACCCCTGTGAAAGGGTCGTTCTACCGCCAAAGGGGTCGTGATCCACAGGTTGAGAACCACTGGTTTAGAGAAATTAAGTAATTCTGACAAGGCCATGCACGGTAAGTGGCGAAGCGGAGCGCTGGTCTGTTTCCAGAAGCCGTTCTCTTCACCACTGTGCTGTCTGCTCGCACAGGTACTTTCTCTGCCCCACATCTCCTGTCTGTCTTCCTTTTTCATCTACCAGGGTCCCCGGGGTACCAATTCTTTTTTTATTTTTAATGTTTTTTATTGATTTTTAGAGAGAGAGGAAGGGAGAGGGAGAAGGGAGAGATAGAAACATCAGTGAGAGAGAAATAAGGATCGGCTGCACCCCCTGCACACCTCCCACTGAGGACTGAGCCGAAACTGGGCATGTGCCCTGACCGGAAACTGAACCAGTGACCTCCCCGGTGCACAGGACGATGGTCAACCACTGAGCCACACCAGCCAGGCCTTGCACCAGTTCTAAGTGCTGCGTAGCTGGTTTCCTAGACTTCAGACCTCCTTCATTATAAAGGGAAACAGTGACACGCTGAGGGTTCATCAGGAATGCCTTGTGCCCGTGGGTAACTTGACTCCGGCAGTAGTAAAAGCAGAGAGCTTTCCAGGTGCAAAGCAAATGCACATTCAAAACAGGATGCTGATTTCCCCTCACAATTCTGTCAAGAACTTGGAGTTGATCAGGTCGAGTGCTGAGGCTTGGAGGGGGTTGGACATACTCTCAGGCATTGCTGGTGAGAGCCACCTTGCCAGGCAATCGGCTGTGTCCATCAGACTAGGACGCAGTCCAGGAGAAACAGTTGTGCGTGTGTCTGAGGAGGTGTGTTTGGGAATGTTCATCACAGGATTGCAAAAGCAAAGATTTGGGACCTGCTCAGATGTCAACCGATGGGGAAGTGGCCAAGTACAATGAATCATATGACCAAGGGGTAAAGCAATTGAAAGGAATCAACGAGAGTTAATGTATTTGATCACATGTAAGATATACAGTTGATTCTTATTATTTCAGCAATTATATAAGATGCTAATTAGACCAGACGTCCTTCCAGATGAAGCCGGTGCTTCGAGGGAAGGTGGTGCCAGCAGCTGGGGGAAGGAAGGCTTACTCTTGCACGAATTTCATGCATCGGGCCTCTAGTGTTCTATAAAAGTAACAGTGAACACAATTAGCAAATACTGGTTCATTGCTCCTAGGAGCAAAACAGTTTCCTGTGAGGCTCTGGTCACTTGTTTGTCACCTGATCAACACATTACCTTGTTTTATGTGTGTTTTTTGTTTAAGGACTTTATCTAATACCTATTGTTGATTCACTAGCTTGGACCTCGGAGCCCACAACACTATCACTCATGCCTGAACGAAATTGATCTGTTGCACATTTTCTCCATAAATGGCGTCGCAGCCTCTTGCACTTGGGACACGAGACACACTTCACTAGCACTCAGCAAACCCCAGCACTACGCTTGGGGCCACCTTCCACAGCAGAACATCACACAGATGCCAAAGCCATGGCACTGAGGAGACCTTGAAAAGGACGCTTACCTACCGTCTGAGAGCAGGAACTCAAGGCCGAGCAGCGCCTTGATCAACCCCAGCTGGCAGCATGCGCACCAGGCGGCTCGGACGTCCCCTCGCTCTGAGCATGTCCACGAAGGACTGTGAAAGCACTGTGTGTATTGTCTGTAGGGTTACAAATACCTTTTAGCCAGGAGGCAAATTCGCAAATACAGAATCTGCAAATAATGAGTATCAACTGTATGTGTCCTCACATTTTAACAACTCTGAAATGGGGGTGCATCTTAGGTTCCATGAAAGATGTTATATATCAGCATAGAGAGACTCTGTGAGTAATGTTCAGTGAAAACCAAGTTGAGGATCAACATATATAGGATGAGCCCATGTATGTAAAACGAAACAGAAGGCCATCATGCCTGTCCTTTGCTGCGTAATGGTTAACACATCAGCACACTCATTCCCCAGGTACTGGGCACTGTTCTAAGCACTTTATTATTGATTATTTTAACCCTTACAAGGCCCTTATGAGGTAGGTGCTATTATTATCTCCACTTTATGAATAGAGATTACTGAAGTTTCCCATGGTCACAAAAACAGATATTTATTTCACACCAAAGTAAAAATGATTGATTGTATTTCATCTATGAACTTTCCTAACGTGACCTGTGTCTTATTTGTATCCTAGGAGCTTATAGTCATAAACTCAGAATGATCATTCTAAATCGTATTGTTATGAAATAAATAAGTTTTACTCCCCTACTTCATATAGTGCTCACCATGTTTCTTACTTAGAAGTAAGGAGACATATACCTGAGTTATACCGGCGCTTTCATTGGTAGCTGAGTTTTTCTGGGCAATGGATTAATGGGATTGTTCTTAGCGTTTGAAAGCCTCTTTTGTTTTAGCTTCTACAAATATATTTCTACATATGGTCATCTTTCTTGTTTTTGAGAACACTTGCATAACTTGTTTATACTGATGTTGGTAAGTTTTAAATATGTTCAAGTTGCATCATTTTGAGTAAAGTAATAAATTAAAATATTTAAAAAAATAAGAATTTTTATGAGCTCCAGACAGATTTATGCAAGAACTGATATATCTGAAAGCGGAGGTACTTCAGAAACTAATTGCAGAAATATTTTAAAATGAGGCATAAAGCTTATGAAATATGGAACATATGAATGCATTATTTTACTCTCAAAATTCAGCATAACACTTTTGCATATTAAAAACATTACACTATTCTTGGGATTTATGATCCTGAGAAACTGTTGATACTTTTTTGGTTGTTGTTAATACTCACCCGAGGATATTTTTTCTATTGATTTTTTTTTTTAGAGGGAATGGAAGGGAAGAAGGGGGAGAGAAAGAGGGAAACATCGATGGGAGAGAGACACATCAATTGGTTGCCTGCTGCATGCACCCCTACTGGGGCTTGGGATCAAACCTACAACCCAGGTACATGCCCTTGACCAGGAATCAAACCTGCAGCCTTCCATGTGCAGGGCCATGCACTAACCACTGAGCAACACAGGGCAGGGCAAAACTGTTGATTCTTCTCATTTAACTAATAGCTTTTCCTCCAACTCCATTGCTGCCTACTGAAATCCACACATTTGCCAAAGCCCCCTCTGGTATCAGCAGGCTTTGTGATCTTCCTACTCACCAGTCGGGTATTATTAATTGAACCAGAACATTTCTCCTTTTGTCGGTCATTTAGACCTGGAGTTGGATATTGGCAATTTTATATGGCTTAGCCCCGTGGTCGGCAAACTGCAGCTCGCGAGCCACATGCGGCCTTTAGCCCCTTGAGTGTGGCTCTTCCTAACCTAAGCCTTAGGAGTACCCTAATTAAATTAATAACAATGTACCTACCTATATAGTTTAAGTTTTAAAAATTTGGCTCTCAAAAGAAATTTCAATCGTTGTACTGTTGATATTTGGCTTTGTTGACTAATGAGTTTGCCGACCACTGGTTAGCCTAACGTCATTTCCCTTTAGCCCTCCATGGTCCTTTTTCTGGGTGATGGCGGATAGCATCTATCTAGAACTATCTCATCTGACCAGAGGCTGTAGACCCCTGTGAGGGTGGGGACCGAAGCTTGTTTCTCTTTGGGCCCTGCTCTCTCCACCCCAGAGTAGGTTATGAATAAATGTTGGCAGGGTGCATGAAGTTAGAGAAGGCATTATCGTTGCCTTAACTTGCTGTATGTTTCTTTCCAGTGGCCCACATGTGCAGCCTCCTGGAGCATAACTGTGCCCACTTCTGCATCAACACCCCTGGCTCGTACGTCTGCAGGTGCAAACAAGGATACATCCTCAACGCGGATCAGACAACTTGCAGAAGTAAGATTGCTTGGCTGATGTATCCATGCTGTCCTCCTCTTCTCTCCTGCTCCCTCTTCCTTCATCTGGGCCCATTTAAGTCATCCGTGGCCCCTCACCCAGCCAAGTCATTGCCTCCCTAACAATAGAAACCAGGTTTTGTAATTCATATATTTTGTGTTGACCTCCACCCCCCACACTGCCATCATAGTGCCTAGGCCAGAGTCAAGCACACAGTAGGCCGTCAGGAAGAGTGTGGAAGATGGTTGGAGGTACTTCCCAGAAATAGCCGCCTTGGATTCATGAGCTGGTGTCTTTTACCTCCCGAGCTGTTCTTTGGGGAGAACTGCTAACGAGCCTTTTCATCCCCCGTCTCTATTAACTGTTCCCTGAGGAACTGTCTCCATATTTTAGTTTCTCCTCGGAAGCGTGGACTTAGGCTGAGTTAGTAACATGGGCTGGGGATGATTATTCAAGTTCTGCTTTAGATGTGCCCCGGGGTCTACTTGCTCTGGTGAAGGACACTTTATAGGATCCTAAAGAGAAAAGGGCAAACAGGTATGTGCTGATGGAATCCACATTCTTTTTTGGCCAAGCCCGAAAACTAGACAGAGTGCCTTTGAGCCAGCACGAGGTAACCCACCTCTCGGAGGAGAGACTTACTCAAATGCTGACTGTTGTGCGCATCCCTTTTTCAAGTTGTAAATAAAGCCACTGCGTTAGTCAGGACACCCAGGCTACCAAAGCAAGGAAGACGGCCCACATGGAGGCAAATGAAACCCGGCTAACCGGACGGGTAGTCATGCAGTGCGTAACTGTGATTATACCGGACGGTAAGCAATGAAGCACTAATGCAGCGGTTCTCAACCTGTGGGTCGCGACCCCTTTGGCGGTCGAACGACCCTTTCACAGGGGTCGCCTAAGACCATCCTGCATATCAGATATTTACATGACGATTCATAACAGTAGCAACATGACAGTTATGAAGTAGCAACGAAAATAATTTTATGGTTGGGTCACAACATGAGGAACTGTACTTAAAGGGCCAGAAGGTTGAGAACCACTGCACTGATGGGAGCCATTTGCACAAACGGCTGTAATTAGTATGGCATTGATAGAGCCAAACCACATTTTCCTCTCGTCTTCTCACTTTTCAGTTTCGGGGTTGAGAGAGGTTGGCAGCCTCCCTGCCGACCCCCCGAGATTAGGGAACACCTGCCTGCCTCCTCGGCTCCCTGGCTGTGGAGCCCAGGGCTGTGTCCTCGCTCCTCTCAGACCCTCGGATCCCAGGGTGTTGAGAGCAGCCTGACTCATCCCGATCCGCTGGAACCTCCGACTCTTCCTGTTTTCACATCACAGACTACTCACACCAAAGACTCAGCGGTTTAGTCGAGTTACTAGGCAACTGGGGGAGCCCGGGCAAGGTCACCTCGCCCGCTGCTCAGCAAACCACCTAAACAGCTTTTTAGACACGCTCCATCCTCTCCCGGTGCTCTCCCCCGCCTCCTGCTCCAGCCTCTTCAGGAACCTCCCCCCGACTCCACCCCGAAGGAACTTCTTCACAGAAGGCTCAGCCACCGCCTCCTTGCTAACTCCCTTCCTGCCTTCCCTCTTAGGAGCACAGAAATTCCTGTCCTTGTCTCCTGCCCCGTGACCTGCTGGGGTCTGGGCATCTGCCCATGTCCATTGTCTGTGGGCTGGCTTCGTGAAGCCAGAGGACTTGGAGGCCAGCAAATAAAAATAGAAACTTCTCCCCTGATGTCCTGAGCAAGGCCTTCCCCACCCACCAGGCTTTCCGACCTCAAGCTGTGAGGCCCCAGGGTCCCCCCAGTGCTGGTCTGGCCTCGGCTCCCCCCCTGGGCAGAGCTGTGGCTGCAAAGAGCATGAAGCAGAAGCTGCTGGGCTGAATTCAGACGGACTGATGGAGGGGCAAGGAGGCCCCGGGGGTGGAAGGATGTGAGTGAACCCAGGAGGTGGTTCAAGCTTCAGTAACTACCGGAGCCGGCCCCTGGGCCTCACCCCAGGGATTCAGAGTCAGCAGATCTGGCATGGGGCCAGGACTCTGCATTGTCGGTGAACTTCTGACATAGATTGCTGCCCCGCTTTGAGAGTCACTGGTGTCCAGCAGAAAGGGAAGAGGGGGCAGGGGGGAAGGGAGAGAAGGGCTTCTGGTTAAGGGAGAAGGGATGGAGCTGGAGCCAGGGCTGAGCCGGCCCATCTGACCCAGCCCTCCAGTCGCTCTGAAGCAGTTCAGCTGCCTTTGCCATCAGCTTAGCACCAGACTAATATGTACAATCAGAAAGAGCAGTTCTCACTCTCTCAGAAAAAGGTAATAACTCTATTGCTTGCCTGCCTGAAATTGGTATACCAGTGGCCTTGCAGAAAGGACAGGGCCGCTATAGTCCACAGACCTGGGTTCGAATCCTGACATCATCAGTCCTGGGCTGTGGCTCTCTCACCCTGAGCTGTTATTTAAACCTCCTTGACTCAACTTCCTCACCCATAAAATGGGAAGGGTGGTGACAAATGAAGACCTATCTCATTGATGAGCCCATGTTAGTGCATGGTTTTGGTCCGTAGACAGTTAAAAGCTGTGCCCAGGGGAGGCTGGGCCATGAGCTGCTTGTGGGGATCAGTCCCTGCCAGCACCAAGAGGGACTCAGTGGGCCTGGCCAGGAATAAGATGTGCCGGGCAGCGTGCAAATTGCTGGAAATAAGACAGTGAATAAGCCAGCAGTGCCCCTGCTCTCTCAGAGCTCACGTTCTCGCACGAGAGTAAATCAGATCAGCGATCAAGGTTATTGCCACCAAAAGCAATCGCAGCCCTTGCCCAGCTCGGTGTGCTGTACACCGTCAGCCTGACTGTAGCCTCTTCCTAAGTGTTTACCACGTGCCAGGGCTCTCCTCCGTGCTTCATATTGTTATCTAACAACAGCTCTTACTTATCATTCTCATTTTACAGATAAGGAAAACACGGTACAGAAAAGCTTAGACCATTTACTCGAGGTTTTATGGCTCTTAATGTGACCAAACCAGAATACAAATCCTGCTATGTGTGACTCCATAGCTTAATCACCATGGACACTGTCCCATGATCCTTGAGGGCCCCGATATGGCAGCAGAGTAACCCCACAACCAGAGACGCTCCTCCAACCCCAGGAAACAGGCAGGTTCAGAAGTTCACTGATCCAAGGGGAAATTCAGGACGAATTCACCAGGACTAACAGTCAAATGATTGTCATCACCCCCCTCCCCCCAAGACAACTACCAGCTGCTGTAATATGTCATTGTACATGATGATTGTGACAGTGCCTCCTAGGTGACTGCCTTCACACACACACACACACACACACACACACACACACACACACCATATCCGCTGCCCCGACCTGCAGGGCACGCATCGTGGGTACTCCATACCAAATCCTGCAAAGGAATGAGAGGATAGGAGACGCGAAGAAATGGAGGCAAGACAAAGTTCTGATCAAGCCTCAGTTTTATTTTTACAGCGGGTAGAATTTATGTTGTTCTAGAGGGAGGGGGTGGGGTAAGGAGGTCCCTGGGAGTAGCCTATCACTAAGGATGTAGGAGGGCTCTGGAATGTCGCAGCTGTGAGCTTATCAGCAGAGATGTAGCAGGTTTGTGCTTAGGGTGAGGGTAGGCTATCTTTTAACTCCAGACCAAACTGCAAGGTTGTCCTTCAACTCCAGACCAAACTGCAAGGTTGTCTTTTAACTCCAGACCAAACTGGGAGTTGGCTTGGAGGAGCCAGAAACCTATTATGCTATAAACTGGAGATGTATGTGTGATTTATAATGGCTCCCAACATCCGCCATGTTCTATTCATACTCTGTGGAGAGAGGAGGCGGACACAGCTCATTTGTAGGCTCTTCAAGTGGAAATGGCCCTTGGCTGTCAGACTTGTAGCTCCCTCCCCCACATAACCCAGGAATTGTGCTCCCTCCTGGAGCCCCAGATGGGCAGTCCACCACCCTCGCTCCCTGGGACACCAGGTCCTTGCAAAGCACCTGCTTCCCCCTCCAGCCTGGATCAGTGGCTGAGCTGATATCCTGCTCCCCGTAATGCCCACCCTTGATCGGACCTCTGCCATCTGAAGCCATATACTAAAAAGTGTAATTCCCTTTCCAAATAAAAAGGGAGGGCCCTTTCATTTTGGAAGAGTATTATCTACCTCCCCACCCCCATTAATTTCCTCTTTTTCAGAAGAAGTGTACATACATCTTTTGGTGACCTGGTGTTGGGTCTCTTCATTGTCCAGATAACTCTTTTCTGGGCACCAGTTGGCCAGTGGCTTCCATTCAAAGACTAGGTGAAGCACTTGAAATAATCTTACCTTCAAACTTCTGTCCACATGGGCAACTTGAAATAAGCTGGAGGTCCACACTGTGGAGTCTTCTGTTCTCCAAAAAGTCTTCCCCATCCAAAACCATCCTATAAGGTATATGCAAAAGCGTTAGCATAATGCCTAGCTCACAGGGCTCAGTAGAAGTTTATCTCTTTCCCTTTCCCCCCAAAAAGGGGGCTGGGTGGAGGGGGGGGGTGCGAATCCTCATGAAATGTGCCTGTCTTCACACCTCTGTTTTCCCCATCATTCCCTTCTCCTTGAATTCCCACTAATAAGAAAGAATTTTATCTTGTTTCCTTTTCTTTGTTTTTTATTTTTTAAACAAGGAATTTTTCTTTCCTTTCCCTCCTTCTAGAATAATTAATCTATCTGGAAGAATAATGACAATGCAACATTTAGAAAACTTCACTTGGCAAAAAAATGTAAACGTCCTTGTCCAACTTTCACATATTTCTCTCTCTCTGAAGAACCATACTAAATGTATTTTATTGCTCTCATTCTTCAGATATGTCCCTGACATTATTTTTCCCAAGATACTTAAGTAATTTAATAGCTTTTATATTACAGTTTAATCAAGGGGCTTGAGCTAGAAAAACAGTCACATGGTTAAAGTGAGAAAAGCTATAACCAACATTCCTCATCAATTTAAATGCAG